TGCGAGCAGCCCTCCCCATCCCCCACCACCCCCCACCATCCCCCACCATCCCCCCGGGGACACTTGGGCCAAGTTGTGCTGTGGTTTTCACATCCTCTCGGGGGCAATGGGGTCCAGGGGCCACCTGAGCCACCAGCTCCCTGGGGAGGCAACCCAGCTCTCCAGGCGACAGAGCTCTGGGCTGGGGTGCAGGGGAGGGGCACCAGGGTCATGGAGGCCAGGCCTGGGGTTTGGTGGGGGGCTCGGGCCTGGCCCTGCCACGGCTCCTCACTGCCTCTGTGTCTGAAGGGGACTCCGCTCCTAAACTCGGGTGCAAAACAGAGGAAGAGCTGGCCCTCCTGGGAGGACAGATGAGCAGAGGTGGGTGGATGGACAACAGAGGGGCCGGTGGGTGCACGGATGGGTGGAGACAGGGACAGCGAAAGCCTCGAAGGAAGAACTCTGGAAACAGGCGCTGGAGACAAAGACGCCAAGTCGACTCTAAGCTCCACGAGGGCGACTTGCTCGATTTTGTTCACTGCTCCATCTGCAGCCCGGCACATCCGAGCCCCTCAAAACAGCCCGATTTGTATAGTGTGTGGCATGTGCTAATTTCCATGGTGTAGACGGCTGATTCCCAGCTACTCACCCGGCAACTCTAAACGGGATCGGGAAAAGGGGGCGTGCCATCGACTCTCCCGGCTGGGCCGGGCCAGCCCCGGCAGCACGCCCCACTGATGGGAGCCCAGAGGGGCATCAGGAGGGGCTGGGGGGCTTCAGGGAGGAGGTGGTGTTTGTTGCACTCTGAAACACGAATAGGAGCTGTTCGGTTCACCAGCCCTTCAGGCAAAAGGAAGAGGTTGAGGAAGGACCTGGAGGTATGTTGGAGCACTGAGCATCTGCAGGTGGGGAAGGTGAGGCCAGAATTGCCAATGAGTCTCTCTCTCTCTCTCTTTTAAGTTTATTTATTTATTTTGAGAGAGAGCACGAACAAGCGAGGGGCAGAGAGGAGGAGAGACAGAATGTGAAGCAGGCTCCTTCCCGTTAGCACGGAGCCCGACACTGGGCTCGAACCCACAAACCACGAGATCATGACCCAAGCTGAGATCGAGAGTCAGACACTCAACCCCGCTAAGACTCTTTTAAGAGTCAGGAGGATCGGGGCGCCTGGGTGGCTCAGTGGGTTAAGCATCCGACTTCGGCTCAGGTCACGGTCTCAGGGTTCTTGTGTTCGAGCCCCACTTTGGGCTCTAGTCTCCTGGTCCCAAGCACAGCTCTGCTCTGCTGGAAGGGACCGAGGTCAAGAGGTAACAAACTCTCAGCAAACACCCGAGGCTGCCTGTTGTTCCTGCCTGTGCGGCGTCCGTGTGGGGCTGCTGACCCCAGCTCTGGGAGTGGCCACTGCATGACCCGGGCCTGGCTGACAGAGCATTCTGTGCCCCTCCCAGCCACGCTGCTGGTTCAGGGACATGCACATGACCCGAGCAGCTCAGTGTGTTCTTTCTGCTGGAACCGCTGAACGATAGGACGGACTAAACAAAGCCTGGGGCCGCGGGGCAGGGTGGGGGGCACCAGGAAGGAACAGTTCACCTGGGATGAGGCCAACCCCCAAGAAAGCAGAGCCGGGAGTGGAGAGAGATTCCTGGTAATACCTCTTGAGCTCCTGGATCCAGCCATGCCTGAAACCACGGGTGCGGAAGTCATTATGCTGTTGACCAAGTATTTCCAGCTCTTCCCTCTCTGGTTCCTCTTGTGTGGTACCACGTGACCGGGACTGGCCAGTGAGTCGTAAGGAGAAGTGGTGACGTCTCACTTCTGGACCAGAGCGTTTCCCTGACCATCGTGATGTCCTCCAGAGCGCTGTTCCTCTCTGCCACCGTGACGGGTGAGCTGGTGGCTGCTCCATCAGGAGACACGGAGAGCGGAGTCTCCAGGTCCCCCGAGAGGGACACGAGTCATGAGTGAGAAATAAATCCCTGTTGTAACCTACCAAGATTGGGGGGCTGCTTGTTAGCTCAGCACAACCCAGCCTGGCCCGACTGGGCTGAGGGGCCGTGAGTTTCCCTTTTTGGCCTCCGTGGGTTTGAGATGGTTTTGTGTCACTTGCAGTGGGGAGTGTCCTAGCCTCGCGAGGACTCCCCTCCCATCCTGAGACCAGAGGACCAGGTTCCGTCCCTTCTCACGAACAGCCTTGGGCTGTCGCTCTCTGTCTCTGAGCCTCAATTTCCCCGTCGTCGTTGGGCAGGGGGTGGGGGACAGCCATCAGTCCCTCAGCTTGCTGGGAGGGACCGCTCACCTGGGATGAGGCCAACACACAAGAAAGCAGAGCAGGGGCAGAGCCTCTTCCTGGAGGCTCCGTGTTGCAGGGGAAGCCTCTGCCCCCTTCCCACCTGGGACTGGCCACCGGAACCGTGTAGGGCACATCCAACCGCGGCTGCTCCAGACGTTTCTCGGAAAACCGGGGACAGGAAAGATGGGAGAGTCAGCACATGCATTTCCCGTCCCGGGAGCCCATCACACCCAGAAGGCAGGAGGAAGCAAGCTGCGTTCTCAGCGGGAAGGAAACGGGAGAGGGATCTTCGGCAGTCAAGAAACATCAACCCTGGAATGGGAAACAAGAGGAACCACGTCTCCGCTCAGATGTCACCTTCTCAGCAGGACCTGCCCAGGGCCCCTCACTCAAAGCCAGAGCACCCCCCGCTGACGTAGTTTTCTTTCTTTCCATAACCTTTTATTAAGCTCTAAACTATATCTTTGATTTATTTTCTTTACTGTCTATCCCACTAGCACAGGGGTTTTGTCTTTTTTGTTTGTTTGTTTTTGGGGATTTTTGTTGTTGTTGTTAAAGATAACTTTGCTCTTCGCTTTCTTTTACAAGTTTTTAAAAATATTTATTTATTTTCAGAGGATGGGGGAGGAGCAGAGAGAGAGAGGGAGAGAGAGAATCCCAAGCAGGCTCCATGCTCAGCAGGGAGCCCGACGCAGGACTCGATCCCATGACCCTGGGATCACGACCTGAGCCAAAATGAAGAGTCAGATGCTTAACCGACTGAGCCACCCGGGCGCCCTGGGTCTTGTCTGTTTCATTCACTTCTATGTCTCAGAGTCTAGAATAGCACCTGGCATAGAGCAGGTGCTCAGCAAATACTGAGTAAATGAATGAATGAGTGAGTGAGTGAATCAATCAAAGGCAGAATATCCGCTGACAAGGCAGTGGGCAGAGAGGAAGGAGGGGACCGAGACCAGGAGAGGGCCACCTGGCCCCGACCCTGGAAGTGCCACAGAATGGGATACAGAGATGAAGACAGGGGCCTGCTTGGAAGTCTGTAAATGGAGCAGGAGACCCTCCCCTGTTGCTCACACCATGGGGTCTTTCCCCCATCTTTAGTGGCAAGAGATTTGAGGCTGAGATTTGATCTCAACCGCAGCCCAGGCTGGACAGACCTCTGGAGAGCCCGCTGAACGAGCAGCGAACAGTGCTGCCACCTGCTGGTGACCACTGGAACTAGGCTGACGTGTCCCTGGAGGGCAGCGGCCTCAGGCTGGGGTCAGGTGGCTTATATGGCCCTGTACGATGGTCACAGCAACCCTCCGCAGTGGGAATATGGTGGTGAGGACACAAAGTGAGCTGATGGGGTTCTTTCGTTAATTCAATACGGGCTGACTGCTACGCGTTGGGCGGCTGGACACGCACAGGGCCCTGGAGGGTGGGGGTGGTGAAATCTCACCAAGCAGGGAGATCGCACGTGTGCACGCACACCCACGCACATGCACGTCCACACACCTACACGTCTGCACACAGATCCACGCATACAAGCACAACTGGAAAATCTCTGGCAGAAGTGGGTGAAGGGTCAGAAGGCAGAGATCACTCTCAGCCCAGGTGAGAAACGAGGCAGGAAGGGGAGGAAGAAGGACTCAGGTGGAGGCACCCAGGAGGGCTGGACAAGAAGGGAGGCGGAGTCCGGGGAGGCAGCTGCCAGGGTGCTCGGTGGGGGAAACCAGGAACGACGGTGCTCACCCCCAGGGAAAGGAGGGGGGACATTCAGGACATGGGGGCCCGTGCCGAGGACTCCTGCCGGTTAGTGGGAGATGTGATGATGTGGGTGTGCCAGGGACCCCACCGGGGGAGCAAAGTGAGCTTTATCCCTGGGACATTTTATGTAAAAATGGCATCACAGGCCTGTTTTCCAGGGGCGCATAAAAGGGAAGCACAAAGAAAAAGGTCTTCAGGGGAAAGGAACTCGGAGGCTTAAGTCTTACTGTACTGTTTGAAGTGTTTTAAAGAGACTGGATTACCATGTTGCAGGTTGGGGACACCAAGGAGACAGAGGCACGGGTGTCCGGGCCCTGTGGTGCCAGCCTCCAGTGAGGGGCAAGCCAGGGTGAACAGGATGTCTGCCCTCTGGGCTCAGCGTCCCTCCTCACCCCCCGCCTTTGCTGCTCAGTCCAAACGTGAACTCTTCCCACCCTTCACACACACACTTTAGTCTTCCACAGCCTCTACCACTCCCTAGCGCTCATATTTAACACAGGGCTCCTCTTCCTGTCATTTATGTTACCTGCTTGACCCCTGAAGGCATCTGTGCTCAGACCTTCTGGTCTCTGCTGTGGTTCCTAGAACACTTTGTAGAACTTGGAAGGATGGATGGATGAACTTGAGTGGATGGATGGATGTGGCTGGATGACTGGGTGGGTGAGTGGATGGATGGATGGATGGATGGATGGATGAATGGATGGGTGGATGGGTGGGTGGGTAGATGGGTGGATGGATGGATGGATGGGAGGATGGGCAAGTGGATGGGTGGATGGATGGATGGGTGGACGGGTGGACAGATGGACGGATGGGCAAGTGGATGGGTGGGTGGATGGGTGGATGGATGGATGGGTAGGTGGGTGGATGGGTGGATGGATGGGTGGGTGGGCAAGTGGATGGATGGGTGGATGGACAGATGGATGGATGGGTGGATGGACAGATGGACAGATGCACAGGTAGGTAGTGGGAGGAACAGATCATCCTTGCACAGAATGGCTGGCTGTGGAATGTGGAATAGTGGTCACAGAAGCCCATCTCTCCACCAGAGGGCTGCACCCCTCATCCCTATGTGCTAACCCCCAAACACAGGCCCAAACCATCATTCATCTGGGCAGGGGGCAGGAGAGAAAGAAAACAGAAGATAAACTTTGCTGAACCCTACCATGTGCTCACAGTTGGGAGTTCTTCAGTGTATCTGGTCCTCCCATGAGAGAGGTAGTCTACCCCATTTTTCAAGTGAGAAAACTAAGGCTCTGAGATGTGAATGTCAACACTGGGTTCCCATGACCCCACCTTCCTTCTACCACATGATGTGTTCCCAAAGGAAGCACCTGGCATTTGTAAAGTATTTTCTGTTTGTAGAGCAGATAACACTTCTTATTCTATTTGATCTCAAAAAATCCCCCTAAATGCTATTTTTTACATTTGAGTAAAAATGAGAAAAGAAAAAAAAATGATGGTAAGACGTGGCCCGCTCTTGGCTGTGCTGGGGTTCACCCTGACTCCCCACCCTGTGCCCCATCCTGCCCTTTGTCACCCTGGAGTCTGGCCCGGAGTGACCAGGGTCCAGGGTCCAGGTCCCAGGATAGAGACACTGGGCCATGAGCTGGGCCAGGTCAGGTGCTGCAGGTCAGACATGGCCCAGATGGGCTGCTTTTTAAGTTGGAGAAGCTGCTGGGCATGTGGGCGGGCCCGGGCCAGGACCCTGGGGACCAGGGGGGCACGTGCCACACTTCTGGCTGTGGATAAAGTTGTTGCTGGATCTCTCCATTTTTTTTAAGAAAGTAAAACTCTGGATTTTTAAAAAATGTGAAATGCCCAATTTTTTAAAAATGTTGGCAATTAACACATGCACACACACACACGGAAGGAAGAAGGGGAGTGGAGGGAAGAGAGCGAAAGAGAACTTCATTCCCTAAACCCACACTACAGGCCTGTGACCTCTGCGGCCTGCTGGCCTGGCACACCTCCAGTCACTTCTGTCAAGGACAGGACCGGGCCCAGCTGAGGAGGAGGAAGGCTCTCAGGGCAGAGGCAGGCGGGCGAGGCGGTGCCCAGGGCTGGCCACCCCCTCTTGCTCTGGTTCTACTGGGAACATTTATTCCTGGCTGTTCTGCGAGTGGAAGCAGGGGATCCCCCAGGGGATCAGAGAGTCTCTAGGAAACACATCAAACTAAATGCATTTGACTTCACTTTAATTAAAAAAAAAAAACACCAAAATAAATACATGCCAAGAGATTTTTTTTTTTTTTTTT